GATATGGAAAAATTTTGAGCATCAATCGATTGATCTAAGAAATCAATCAATTGCTTCTTGGGATTTTTCAAAAATTCATCCATCTTCATGCAATCGATTGTTTCCATGAACTTTCTCAAAAATACATATTTTAACATGGTTTTTCCAACAATCCAACACACACAAACATTCTATAACATACTCTAGCATGTTTATGATCATCTACGCACACAAAATAACACATGCAAAGTATCATTCAAGATCATCATCCAAAATCCCATAAATTATGCATTCTCCCACAAATCTCATAACCTAATCACAATCAAATCTTCCTACACCTAATTTAATATGCATAGAGGCTAAGACTATCTAAGAATCCCCCCTAAATCAAACCAACTTTGGCATTTGAGATGAATAAATGAGGTGATGATGAACTCTTGGTGCTTGAAGGCTTCATAGATTGCTTTACCCCTAAGGATTCCCATGCAAGAATGAACATGTATTATGATGTAGCTTTCCAAGTTCCTTCTTCTTCATCTTTTTAAGAGTTGTGCCATCTCTCTTGTGCTCACTCCCTCACTCTCAACTCTTAAGTCATGAAAGATAATCTCAATGAGTAATAAGGAAAAAGACTTCTAATGGTCTTAAATAGTAATCTTACAAAAAGACATCATTGCCCTTGATCTCAAATTAAAATTCCTAACAATATTATCTTCTTCTAATTTTGCTAAAAATTGAGATTAACTTTCTTAATCTTATTCAAGTGACTACTTTAAAATTTATTTTAAAAAATCTAAATGGTAAATATGGGTTGAGTATAAAGATTTCATTTTAGAACATGATTATGCAGTTTCTACATTCTATATTAAATTCATGATCTCGTCCAATGGTATATAACTAAAAAATTTAAATGATAAATATAGGTTGAGTTTTGGCTTTCATTTTAGAATATATATATATATATATATATATATATATATATATATATATATATATATATATATATATATATATATATATATATATATATATATATATATATATATATATATATATATATATATATATATATATATATATATATATATATATATATATATATATATATATATATATATATATATATATATATATATATATATATATATATATATATATATATTACTTGTTTATAGTTTATTAACAAATTTGAGGCCCCCATTTTTTTAAGGCTTTGTGCAACGGGGCAGGTTGCATAAGTTCAAATTCAGAATTGGTCTAGAGCGAGTATTGGGGTTCTCATTATTCATTTTGTCTCTATCTTTTGAAACTGAAAAAAGAAAAACATACTTGAACCAATCAAAATGGATTTTTGTCGTCAAAATCAAGGTGTGTACTCGTGAGTATATATTTTATTCTCATGTCTACACCAAAAGTGTGTTCAAAAAACACAAGTACTTGATTGATCCCACTAACAACTAAAAACAACAAAAGATGCAAAAATACACCCAAAATATTAAAAGATACAACAAGACAATCAAAATAGTCAACTCATCCAAAGATAGAATAAAGTAACAAAAAGAGTCAACCCATATAACTAAAATTACACCACAACAGGAAAGAATCTACCTGATGCCATCAAGTTGGACTTGCCACCCCCACATATTTTGATAATGCCAAAAATACCCTTCTTATTTTTACCTTACTTAAATCCTTGCAAAATTTGCTCTCAAACGCAAAAAATGTGATAGTGACACAAAATTTGGTATGTGTTTTTACCGGATTATTTAGAATGTTCGAGGTGTGTCAATTGTTTATTAGAAATTTCAAAAAATGTGTTATACGAAAAATTTCCCCCATCCTTAAAAATCTGGTAGTGTTATTTGCATGCTATTGTGATTGTACTGACACTTTTGTGAGATTGTGATTGCACCGACACTTTTGTATGATACATAATGATTTAAAGCTTATATAAATATGTCTCGTATGTTGTTAACAAAAGTACCTGGCAATATCTCAATATTGGCATCTCGTATTTGTTTTCTTTAATGACGTGGATCCTCCTATAAAATTTAGGGTCACAAAGGACACCCCTTTTGATGTTCAGAAATCCAAACAGGATAATCTTTTGCATTACCTAGAAAACTGGAGGATGGTTAAGATCGAGTATCGATCACCATCGATTAATACTAAAGGGAAGATTAGGTTCAGTAAGTTTGAGCTAAAAAAGGATGAAGATCTAAGAGTTATATGGAGCACATTTCATTGATACGAAACAAAGGGTTCAATCGAGGTGGATGCAACATTTGCGAGACTTGTTGACGATATTCTGCAAATGATGAAATGTTATGAATCATCTATCAATGGTTAAGTTATGTCCATTTTATGCAATGTTATGTTAGGTTATGTTCATGTTAAGTTATGTTTATCCTGTTGTAATGTAATGTTAACTTTCATGTAATGCAATGTTAAGATAAAGTGTCAACAAAATACAAATAATTCAGTACAAACCCAAAATAATGTGAGCGGCAATAAATAATGAACAAACAAATAAAACCTACAATGATCCACCAAGAACAATGTGTGTTATCTACGATAACCTGACATGGACTCATCATTTGGGTTTATCAAACTCATAAAGTAATCAGAAAGAAGCGTTATCATATGCACGCGTTACTGGTCAATCATACCATGTGGAGGCGGCGGCACGTCATCTAAATGTCCTCCATCGTGTGAAGGCTCATTATCATCTGTAGGCTGGGTAGGTGGGATGATGTAAGGGGGTGATATTCTAAAGTACCAATATAAATAACCATCCAGAGACACCTCCACTGCATTTCCTCTAATAGCGATGACAATGCTCACAATGCTAGATCTAAACCATCTTTCAATGTCCTCTGATGGTACAACAAGAACTTGTCTAGGAATGCCCTAAACATAGCCAAATTGGTGTAGACATAGAACTCTCTCATCACGGATAACCTAAAAAAAGGGCAGTGTCATCGAATTCGTGATTCATTATATGGTCTGCATAGGGTGTCCATATGAAATCCTCCAGAGTAAGAGCATTGATTCTCCGTCTGTACTTCAGAAGACCACATGAATATGAATGTCTCAAGATCCAATAGATGGTCCGTGGGGAGTCAATTGTGATAGGACCACGATTTTTTTTATTTATAAACTTTCAGTAAAATACAACCAAAATTTGGGTTTATACTAGATATTTCTAAATTGTTTATATAAAACTATAAATTTTATATCAACAATTTCAAAAAAAAAAAAAACTAGTAAAAGAAAGCATGTTTTTTTCTCTAAATATCTGGTATCCTATCAAAATATTCAATATAAATACATAAATTGAATAAAAAACGCTACTCGTAAAATTTTGGTATTTCTAACAAATCTTTAATAGAAAACATTGCAAAAATCTGAAAAATGAGATTTTGAATGTATAAAATTGATATTTTTTTTTAACTTTAGAGATATTATGGTCGAATCAAAGGTTATATGAAGGTGTCAGATCAAGCTTAGGAGTACCAGATAAATTCTTACTCAACAACGAACTGAAATAAATTTCACTCTACCAAAACCACCATCAATAGAATAAAGACTCTCAGAGCATCTTTAATACAGGTTTTTAATAGTTAAATTTTTTATATTTAACGATGATTATAAAAAATTTGCATTGGAATGGCTATAACATGATATTTAATTCATTAACTTTTAGTTTCCGACAATTATATAGCTAACGTATGCTATATAATTCGGGCCCACAAAAAATTTGCAATAAATATTTTATGTATTTTATTTAAAATAATTAAATTAATGATAACTTCAATAAAAAATAATTACAATTAAAAAATATAAAATATAGGATCAAGTTTTAGCTTTTTATAAACAACTATCATTAAAGTAAAAACAACTCAAATCAACTATAAATTTTTTAAATCTTACAAATCACTTTGTACCCACAAAAAATATCTTAGTTTACCCACTTAAGATTATCATTATCACGAACTAGTTCTAAAATTAAAATCAAAACTTTCAATCTACTATTGAATAAGTTAGATGATAGAATTCTTAAACCAATCTAAACAAAAAAACAAGAGTTCATGGCTGATCTTAAAAACTATTTTTAAATTAAAAAAAAATAAAAATAAAATAAAATATAAACTCTTGTTCGTTACTTCTTTTCAGGGCCTCAATTTCTCATAATCTTAAAACCACATGGTATTCATATTTTGTCAACAATGATGCGTTGAAGGGTTCTCCAAAAAAATCCATCTTGCTGCTTCTATACTAAATTGCATGTCATGGTCGTGATTCTCTGTTTGCACCTCAGGGATCTGTTTCTTTACACCATGTTTTGTTTCTGTTTCAATCTCGGACATCTGATCTCCCTCACCACAACCACACCAACAAGCACAAACACAGAGACCACCGCATGTAGCATCATACACCCTCTGCATCGATGTAAATCGGTGGAGCTATATCACTCCTACCACCTCTATCACCAATATCATTTATTAATTTAAAATATATATACTCTGACTTTTGATAGAATTGAAATAAACAGAGTTATTCTCTATATTTCGCCTAATTCGATTCCAGATTATAATATATAAACTCCAGATTACAGATTGCAGCTGTAACTTTTTTTTCATTTTCAATTATCTTGATACGTGCTCGTACAGAGGGAAATAATTGTATAAAAAAACAAAAACCATATATTTCTCTTTAAAACATGGTTATTTTGCCACAAAAACCAACTTCGTATCAACTCCATATAAAACAAAGTGATGATTTAAACCTTAATACAACAATTTTCATTTATATTTTGTTCCATACATTTTATTTAGACACGAGCGTTAAAAAACGCGAACATGGATAATATATATTACCCTTTCAAAAATACATAAACTTAGCAGTACAATAGCTAAAAATAACTGCGTACCTTGACATATTACAAAGAGTAAAAGGCCAGAATGTGAATCCAACACAGCAAAATTGGGGTGTAAATGTAACAATTCTAGAACAAGCAACTAGAGTAAATGCATTCGTTCAACACAAGGGTGGAGCAACCATTGACTAAGAGGCTCCCCACAGCCTACAAAACAACCTGAATTTCCATTTTCAGTGAAAAAAGGGAAGCTGAATACATGCAACAGCTCATGCACTGACTGTCTAACAAGAGAAGAACCTGTGACCCTGCTCCTTCGGCCCCATCCAGTCACGATATCTATCCGGCTAGGGCTAACCCCAGATATCAGCATCTGTTTGCGAAACCCAGCTAGTGTCCTAGACAATGCTGTTACGGCTGTTCCATCTGACATGACATGAAGATTAATGAGCCAGTAACAACAGCTTTTCTCCTTCACAGCATCTGGATATACATTTCTTTGTGCAGCTACCTCCCAAACCGAACCGGCCTCCTCTTTGAGTCCAGACTTGTGAAGAAAATCCACAACTGCATCTACAAGCCCTCGTTTTCCCTCTCTATCCTCTGAATGCATCAGGTCCAAGAATTTGCTTGCATGATCCCTCACATTTTGACCATCGGGCCCTGCAGCCGGCATTGACTGTAAAAATGCATGAGCAGGATGGCCACTGACTTTCATCAGCTCACAACAAAATCCCATATCATACTGTGATTGTGCGTCTGTACAACAGCTGAGAAGCAAAGTATATGTCTGCAAAGAAGGGCTTAGACCAAGAGCTACCATGCTCTGGAGAAGATTATACGCATCTGCCAATCGATGCACCCTAAGAAATGCACTGAGAAGTGAATTGCAAGTTGGTACATTCGGAAGTAGACCAGCTCTGAGCATTGCTCCGTACCATTCCCAAGCCTTCTCAACATTACCAGCCTTTCCCCATAGGTCTACCAGAAGACCATAAACAGGTTCATCTGGAACCCAATTCATCTGCTTCATCTCAACAAAGACTGCTTCTGCTTCCTCAAGATACCCACAGTGACCAAGCACCTCCATTACTATGCTATATGTAACTTTGTCAGGTTTAAATCCCGCGTTCTGCATGTCACGATATAGTTTCAATGCTGTCTCATAATTCCTTGCCTTTGCTTGCAAAGCAATCATTATATTGTAGGTCACAATATTAGGAACACAACCCTGATCAACCATTTCACAAAATAGTCTGTCAGCAGCAGCTAAATTACCAGATTTACCCAAACAGTTAATCATTACACTGTAAGTAAACGTGTCAGGAGAAAGGCCAACTTGTTGCATTCTTTCATACATGGACATGGCCACATCAAGAAACCCAGCTTTTGCATGGATATCAATAAGTGTGCAGTAAGTGACACGATCAGGCTCACACCGTTTCTCCTGCATTTGTTTGAAGACATTCAGTGCTTCCTTTAGGTAGTTTGCACGGCCATAACTGTGAATTAGACGATTATATGTTACAACATTAGGCTGACATCCATCCATGACCATCTGTTCAAGCAATTTGTTTATTGCACCAAACTCTCTTGCACGTCCCAGAATACCAACCATGGTGGTGTAAGTATGCCCATCATGCCGGAAGTCTGGTTGTCGCTTTAACCAGTAAAAGAAATATAGAGCAACTGAATGGTCTTCAAGTTGCTTTAAGACTTGGTTACCTTGATATGCATCTATCGAAAAATTTAGGTCATGAAGAGCCTCCTCTGTAGCAGGACCCCACTTTAACTGTTGCAGTATATCTTTAACGACTTCCACACCGCGGCGGCCTGTCTTTGTATAATGGGTTTTTGTTGAAGCAATTCCTGCTGATGTTTTCAGATCCCTGTGGTGTTTATTGAAGCTTTCGTTGAAAGAACCCAACATTTGTGAGTTTGAAGTTGGCCTGTTGGAACCAAATTTTGTGACAAATCGATTTGAATATGTTCTCGTCCTCTGTGGTGGTAAGGGTCTGCTGTTATGATTATTGAAAGGAACACTGAGGGTTTCGTCAGTTATTGAAGAAGCAACATGCTTAAAGCCTTTACTTATCTTTGACTTATCACCTTTCCCCTTTGAACCATGATAACTAGTTGCATTGTTTGATGGCCCCGGTTGAGTAGAAACAGGTGGTTTGGGATGAACACTGGTAAAGTCCTCCTTTCTAATTTGTTTCACATTGGAAGATCTGATGTTGCAAATGGCCGAGACGGGTTCAACCATACAATTTTTAGAGTAGCTTAGTATCCCCATCCCATCTGATAAAGGAAGCTTACTATGAACTAAATCAGAAATGAAATTAACCGCAGCAATACCAGCCCGATAAAACTGATCACTATCAAGAGGCGGTGAGTGTGTAACATGATTTTGAAAATCATCAGCCACAGAAGCATATTTTACAGAGTCCGATTTACTTGATCGGCAAGAAGTAGAGCTAACTTGTTGTACACTGCCAGCACCCTGAACCTTGTGAGAACCTGTTCCACTTTCCCGGTTTCCTTCTACTTGAGATGGAGTATTCGATACTATGTAGGCTGGGTTCGGCGCAAGTAAACCTTCGTTCTTCCTCTGTTGTCTTATTGACACACATGTTTCGTCTTCGTGGCACGTGCATGAATTGGCATCTGGTGCATTACATCTTGTACCACCAAGGAAGAAGCTCCTAGCAGTGCTAGAAAGTGTATTGATTGGCTTTGATCGTAACATATTCTGCTTAGAAAATCAGAATAATGAACTGAAATAGGCGGCGTGAAATTAACTTAAAGATACAAACATTATAGCAATAATATAGAGTTGTCTGAAACATGTTGAACCAGTAAAGACCTAAAACAAATTCTAGACATTGGTTCTAAAAAAGGTGTGTCAGAATCCATATCGGAAATCTACATCGGCACTTGTGATTTTGTTATATATATATATATATATATATATATATATATATATATATATATATATATATATATATATATATATATATATATATATATATATATATATATATATATATATATATATATATATATATATATATATATATATATATATATATTTTCTGGCTGAGTCATGTTGAGTGTCTCATAAACTATAAGAATATAATGAGTTGAAAATAAATAAGTAAATTTAGGCACAATCGCATCTCATCTGGAAAGCTACAAGAACCAAAAGATGAAATTGTCGATGTATCATGATTTAGTTGGTCTTGGAAGTTCGATTAAAAATTGAAAACCCTTTGTAGAGTGCAAAAGAAGAGAGATGGAGTAAAAAAAATAAAACGAAATAGAAGCAATGTAGGTTGAGAAATAAAGATAAATAAGAAGGAATAAAGAGAGGCACCTGCATCTTTCAGCAAGTTTGTGGAAGCATAGAAGGATCGGCAAGGTGGCGGCTGGTTTGAGTGTTGGAGACTTTTTCCAAATAATCTGGGATTTGCAATAGCAGCAGCTAGCCCTCGCTTACTTTTCTCTCTCTTTTATTATTACAGTTCTTTTTTTATGTTTTTATTACAGGATGCGTGTCATCAACTTGGACCTCACGTATACTTTTTCCTTAACGTAGTGTTTGGTTCGATGGAAACTGGAAAGAATCATACTTTTTTTCCATCGTTTGCTTTTTTTTTTTAATGCACCGAAACTTCAAATAAAAAAAAAAAAGATATTTTTATAAATCAATATTTTTAATAGTACTTTTGGAAATAGTAATATTTTTAATAGGAGTTAAATGAAAATAGCAATATATTTCCGTGAATCTGTTGATATATCAATTTTGACACAAAATCTTATCTCTTTATTTATTTTTTTTCAAAGATTTATATTTAATTATTTAATTGTGATATTATTTTATTTAATCAAAATATTTTAATTCCTATTTTAATATTAGATGCAATTTATTTCTTAATTAGATTTTTTTTATAAATACTATTTATCCGCCTCATTCTATTTTTTTTTTCATTTTTGATTTTAAGAGATTTGATTTATATTACAATTTAACTAATTTCATACTTATAAGTTCATATTTTATGATGCTAAGTTCTTTCTAAGTGATTATTGTAACAGCCCAAATTTCATTAAATAATTAATTATAGAAATTAATTGATTTAGTGGGGTTTTTATTAATGTTGGAATTAATTTTTATTAATTGGTATGGATAGAAAATTAAGAAAGAATTGGAGAGGAAGGAAAATGAAGGAAATATATAAGAGAGAAAGAAAAGAAAAGAAAGATAGAAAAACATTTGGAAAGAAAGAGGAAAGAAGAAGAAAGGAGAGAAAGAGAAGAGAAGAAGAGGAAAAGTGGAAATCATCAAGAACCAACATCAAAGCTCCGATTAATCGAGGTAAGGGTGAGAAATGTTTCTATTTGATCATTGTATGATGTTATGTATGTTGGGTTGGGGTTTTGGTAGAGTTTTCATCACTTTCCATTTTAGGGCAAGTTGGATTAATCGGTAGAATGATGATTTAATCGGTTGAAACTGAGCAATAATGCCGTAGAATAGTCGGGTAACATGTATTGATGTTATTTGTACTGATTTTGTTGTGTGAGAAGTTGGTTGATGGTGGATTGAGAAGGAGAAGACAGAATGAAATTCTGTTCTGCGCAGGTTCGCTGGCTTTCGCCAGGCGAATGGAAGCGAGGCTTCGCCGGGCAAAGCCTAGCGAATACTGGCGAATAATTATAAGTTAACTCCCAGTGGACTTCGCTGGCGAGTTCGCCAGGCGAAGTTGGATAGCGAAGGTTCGCCCAGCGAAGGTACTGGCGAATGGTGGCGAATGAAGTCAGTAGCTACTGACTTGGGCTCGCTGGGAAGTCTCGCCAGGCGAAGCCTAGCGAGTGTTCGCTGCGAGGGTTCGCCAGGCGAATGAAGGCGAATGTGACAACATTTTTCTTTTGTTGTGTTGTTCATGTGGAGATGGTTTGGTTGCCTCTCATAGGTTAATACCTCTATGATATGATATAGATATGATCTATTGTGATGATGTATGATGTGGTAGCCTACGGGCGTGAATCCTAGTTGATGTGCGATGTGTATTAATTGTGATAAATAGAAATACATGTGAATACAATGATGAATGTATGTGTATTGTCTAATGAACTTGCGAATGCTTGATGTGTATACAATTATGTGATGAGTATGCATGAGAACATGGTGGATATGTGTGCATAACTTATAATTGTATGATTGGTATTGTGATGTGTGTACCTTGTATGAGATGGCATGAGATAAAGAATAAACATACTGTGAAAAATGTGTTGTGGATGCATATTGTTTATATGCGATTGTATGTTAAAATACATGAAGAATGCATGAGAGCATAATGATGGATATGCGTGCATTGCTTGCTAAATATGATGTTGTATTGAATTGTGTATATATATGTGGATAATGCATGAGAACATATCGCGGATATGTGTGCATTGTGTGTTAATGTGGTGATATTATTGAATTGCGGATACATTGGTGATTATTGTGATATGTTGTATGTGCAATCATTGTGTAATTCTTGAAGAGATGAATTATGTAAATGCATGAGATTAAGATGTCGGTCTTAAGTGCATTTGTTGTGGTTGATTGTACATGCATCATTTAGTCAAGAGGCAATGTCTGTTAGTTTCGTGGAAACTAGTGGCTTGTCCCAAACCTAGAAGAGTGGGTTTGAAGGCTTAGAGGACGGGCCTTTGTGGTTATCGGTCTAGAAGAGTGGACCCGGTTTAATGTAAAAACTGAAAAAAGATAACGGGTTATCGGTCTAGAAGAGTGGACCCGGTTTAATGTAAAAACCGAAAAAAGATAACGAAAGTCGGTACCGCATTGCATGAGTTGCATTGAGTTGTTGAGTCACATTGATATATGGCATATGCATGAAGAGATGCTTATGTGTGAATGATGAGATTGTGGAAATTGTAAGTGTATGCATAATATGGGAATGCTTTGTGAATATCCATGTTTGTCTATATATGTGTGGTAAATATATATGACTAAGAGAATGAAGTGTGGTGAGAAATGTGAATATGTGTTATATGACTACCTATATATATATATATATATATATAATCTTATGCTTTGATTATTATGGTTATATTTCTCACCCTTCTGCTGTTTTATAATGCTCTATGAGGCATTGCAGATTAGGATGCTGGAGTCCTTTGTGAAGTTAGTCTTCATTCTTTTGAGTCGGCTGCTCTGATATGTAACACCGGGTAGTTAGACTAGTATAGTCATTCTTTTGTGATACATTGCGATGTATCAGCTGATGTGGTTTTGTAATCTAACTGATATGACGTATTAATCTGGATGACTTATGTGCATTTGAATTTAATATTTTGGAACTGATTAAATGATGTTATCTTCCGCTTAAATTAAATGTTGAAATGTGATTTCTAAAACTACGAAAATGTTACATATTTTATGGAGCAAAATGTTAAAGAGTTTTGTTGGTGAAACTGTGACATTCTTCCTTTATACCTTATCCTAAAATTTTTACTCTGATGAATTTGTATGTGCTTAATTGTTTTATATGCATTTATTTAGGGTATAGAAGGGGGTGTTACAATAGTGGTATCAGAGCAGGTCGGTCCGTCCGGCCAAGTTGTTAGAGTGTTTTTTTTCCTGTGTGTTATTGATATGCGTGTGTTGCATTATCAATATTGGTTGTTCTTACGTGGTTCTGTTGTGGGAATTAGTAAGATGGTTGCAGGAAGGAACGACGAAGCGATTGCGGAGGCATTGACGAGATTGGCGGGGGCAATTGGGCAGAATCCTCCGGCCAATGTGAATGTGAGGAATCATGCTGATGATGGATTCCGTGCTTTGGGGAAATTCCAAAAGAATAACCCTCCGGTCTTCAAGGGAACTCATGAACCGGACAAGGCACAAATTTGGTTGAAAGCTGTGGAAAAGATTTTTCGAGTTATGAATTGCTCGGATGCACAGAAGGTGCAGTTTGGGACTCATATGCTCAAAGCAGAAGCTGAAGATTGGTGGGGTAATACTCGCCAAAGATTTGAGGAAGATGATATTGTGATTACGTGGGATTTGTTTAGAGAAACCTTTCTGGAGAAGTATTTTCCAGAGGATGTGCGGGGGAAGAAAGAGATCGAATTTCTTGAGTTGAAGCAAGGTAATTCGACGGTTGCTGAGTATGCGGAGAAATTTGAGGAGTTGATCAAATTTTGTCCTCACTATAATACTGGTAATGCTGAGAGGTCTAAGTGCCTCAAGTTTGTGAACGGTTTGAGACCCGAGATTAGACAAGCTATTGGGTACCAGGAAATCAGACGGTTTTCTGAGTTGGTTAACAAGAGCAGAATTTATGACGAAGACAGTAGGGCTAGGTCTAGCCACTACAAGAGCCTAAGTGATAAGAAAGGAAAAGGACAATTCAGAGGAAAACCTTACGTAACTCCTGCTGATAAGGGGAAACAAAAGGTTGGTTTTGGCAAGAAGCCAAGTGGGGGAGTTTCTAGCCCGGTTAGGTGTTACAATTGTGGTGAAGCAGGGCATCGTGCTCCGGAGTGCAAAAGTGTTGAACAGAAGTGTTTTAAGTGTGGCAAGCCAGGCCACAAGGCTCTAGAGTGTAGAAGCGGTGCGGGTGTTACTTGCTATAACTGTGGTGAGCGAGGGCATATCAGTACCAAGTGCGATAAACCGAAGAAGAATCAAGGGAGCGGGAAAGTGTTCGCTCTATCTGGATCTGAGACTGCTAGCGACGATCGATTGATCCGAGGTACGTGCTTCATTAATGGTACACCTTTGATCGCTATAATTGATACCGGAGCTACGCATTCTTTTATTTCTTTGGATTGTGTTAGAAGGTTGAATCTTGAGTTGTCTGTGATTGGTGGCGGTATGGTTATTGATACTCCTGTTATGGGTTTGGTAACTACACCGTATGTTTGCTTAAATTGCCCGTTGAGTATTTTCGGTAGAGATTTTGGGATTGATTTAGTGTGTCTTCATTTAGATCAACTGGATGTCATTCTTGGAATGAATTGGTTAAAATTCAATCGTGTTTATATTAACTGTTTTGACAAAACGGTTATTTTTCCCGATTCGGATGTTGAAAGGGATTTGTTTATGACGAGGAAACAAGTGAAGGAATCGATGCAAGATGGAGCTAAGGTATTTATGCTTATGGCAACTTTGAGGACTAGTGAAAGTGAAGAGATTGATGCTGTGCCCATTGTTAGAGATTTTCCGGAAGTATTCCCTGAAGAGATAAAGAATTTACCGCCGGAGCGAGAAGTGGAGTTTTCGATAGATTTGATTCCTGGAACTAGTCCGATATCGATGGCTCCATATCGTATGTCGGCCTCGGAGTTAAAAGAGTTGAAGAGTCAACT